TTTTTTTTTTTTTTTTTTGTCCATTAATCTTTGTTCTTCACTTGCTTCTCCGCTATTTTTCAGATCAATTTTGTTTTAAAAACGAAGACATAGAGAAAACGGTATCTGTTTATCTAGATCTGTATTTGGTATGTAAAAGAATAAACGGTAAATATCATTGAGTAATAAAAGAGAACTTTATGGCTGCGCTGTGGGATATGTGTGTGATATCAAGAAGTTGTACAACTTCTTGGTGATATTAAATGGTTTCTGTGTTGGAGAAGCACCAGTGTTGAGACTAACTCCACAAGATGTTAATGACAGAGTACCGTTTGTTCCTACACTGAGCGTGGCTGACTCGGGATCCGTTAATCCTACCAATCCCCCCACCCACCCACCACCACCACCACCACCAACCCCAACCCCACCTTGCTGTGCCACCGTAATTTCCATCACGTTAAAAAAAAAGAAGAGCACTTATGTCTATATTTACTTCTCTCTACTCCGGGGCTCACTGGTTTGTAAGGGACCGTCCATAATGAGTTATGACGACCTAGCTTATGTTCACTAACTCCACGGGGACTCACGCTGAATGCAATCAGATTAACAGGCTGACACGCCTCCCCTTGTATCCAACGAATTCGTATAATCACCAGCTTCTCTGTATTCTACTCAATGCCAGGAGGAGGCGTGTTAGTTTGTCATTCTAGTTGCATTCACCGAGAGTCCTCGTGGAGCACGTGCGCATTGGCTACATTGTACGTCGGCATATCTCATTGTGAAAGCTCCCTTTTAGCGTGTCAGAAAGGACAGGCAGAATTACAAATGTGACGGGTGCGTCGAACCAAGATGTTGAGTAACATTTCTCAGTGTATAATTTACACCAAAGGAATGTTGACGTGCAGTGTCACCGAGGTTGACAGCGCCTAATTTTGTCAAAGATGCCTGTCATTTGTCATGTTTTGTATGGATAAAACAAATAAAGGCTGTTTGCCACATATTTTTCCTTCTTGATATAATTAAGTACAGCCCTTTCCTAACTTGAAAACAGGAATAGAAAAAGAAAAACTGAAGTATGGAATAAGCAAGCTAAAGCGTGACAGAATAATGATTAATTTTCACTTCGATGTGATAATTCTTGTTTCTTTATAAAACAGTCAAATTGATACAGTCACATTAACATTCAAATTAGGATGCACTATGTTAATAAAATGTTTGTTTTTATTTAAAAAACGCTATTTAGCTGCTTACATTTCGTTCATATCCCAGCGAGCCATTGATCCTGAGCTCATTTTCATAGTATTTATATCCCTCGGCCTATCAGGATCACGGAGTGGATCACGCGTACGGTGAGGTGTGTTGCTTTCTACTGGAAGCAAGATTAAAGATGTCAAATTCACAGTAGAACAGGGGTGCGTCATATATATATATATATATATATATATCACAGTAGCTTGCGTTAAGGCATCCCGTGGCTCGTCAGCGTTTTACCAAACACGTCAGATTCACTTTGAAGACTTAAAAAACGTTGTCTTTATAACTCACTTTTAACATTCCTTTTAGTAACCAAGACAACGGGCACGCCTGCAGGGGATTCAGGAACGTCTGGCACAACCCTCACTCTAGAGACGACTGAGACGAAGTTCTGGCAGCAGTATCGGTTCTATATCCTCGGGGGAGGAGCAGGTTTTATAGGTTTGTCACGAAAAAATGACTTGGCTCAGAAAATTATGGCAATAGATTCTTCAAACAGGAGCAAAATATCAAAGGGGGAGGGCTATACAGACCATCTAGACTGAAAATTTCCTCATATAATAATAATAATAATAACTAAGAGGAAAAATGTATTCAGCGAATTAGGTTTTTTATGTCGCTTGTGGTTAGATAGTAACACAGTAAAGTAAAGAGACTAAAAGTGTTTTAAACTTGGATGTGACACGTTTATCAGAGGGCTTTTGATTCCAAGAATGACTCACCGATTTTACTGGCCAAAAAGCCAATCTTCTTAATCACTATAGTGCCGTCCATAAAATTGGTCATGCGCTTAATGACCATGGCCGTTTCTGGACGCTCATACTTTTAAGCATGCCTACACGCCTACAGTAAATGTTCTTTTAATGCATTTTCAGTGTTGTCCGTGATCACGCTCTTCATCTGCTGTGCCTGCTGCGCAAGTTGCAGACGGTGTTGTTGCAATTGTTGCCTAAGACTCTCTTGTTCTGGTAAGTATGGACTTGTTTTTGCGGTACTTCTTCACCTAGTGTTGACTGGCTGGCGTGGACATCGGGGGTTGATATGTTAAAGTACGCGCAGTGCAGTGTACATTTATGCAGGAAGGTGGATTCTGTGGGCAATTTCGACAATTTCAGCAATTTACTTTTGTCACCAAAATACGTGTGTATGTCATACAAAACGCGTTCGAGTTTCTAGTTGTTCATTTGTCTTTTACAAGAGTGATATTGTGCATAAAAACTGGTTTATTTGATATACCTCGTTTTGCAAAGCAAGATAATGCGCCAAAGAAAGGTATCTACCAAGCAGATACCGTTCTTTCTAAACTATGTTTTAGTATGTTTGGCTATAACCTTTACTTATGTATTACAGAAGGCTGTCGTGCGGAATTGGTTGACTTTGAACAGTGCCTAGCAACGTGTTGTTGTCGCCATGGAAACAAAACCAAACATCAATCGCGACAGCATTACCCGCATCCTTTTACGACATTCGATTATGACAGCAGCACTTTAGGTATGTCTTTAATGCAATTTCATATGTCATGTTGCAATATGAGCTTAAAGCAAATATCATGCAAAGTTAACGTAGGGTATTTGCTACAGTTCACAGTAATTTTTAAGTTGATAAACCTAAGTGACAAGAAAAGATGGATACATGTTATCTATCCACTTTTTCAAAAAAAGGATCGAAAAATATGTGATTTTACAATTTCTATGCAACCATCCCTCCTATGCGATTTTTATTTTAAAAGTTATTTACAAAAAAAGGGAAGACGTTATAATTTTTTGACGAATGTACGGTAGGTGCTTTTTTGTGCCTTAAAAACAGTTATTCTTTCTGCTTTGGAAAAGAGAATTCGCCCCTCCTAGATCCGCATTTTAAGTATTTCGTTTTTAAAACAGGTACAGATAAAAATGGATGCATGAATGGACATGTTTACACCAATGGCCACGTGCATTCAAATGGTCACGTGCCTATGACGCAGATGGGTCACGATATTCTAGATGGAGGCAGCATCAGCAAACGGAGCGACTCCAGCAAGAGTTCTGATGTTAATCACAATGCAGTGCCGAAATCCAAGAATAGTAAGTAATCTAGCTTTTTCATATCATTGATGATTATACTGTTTGTTTTGTGGAAAAGGTTTAGCGTACTTTAGAAGCCAAGATGGATGCACTTTCATTCGTTTGAAATTGCTGATTTAACGAAAACATTTACATACTAACAGCCTTAATTTTATAGTATTAACGAATGATTATTTACTGATTATTCATTAATTAAAAGAGGTATTCGGTACGTGTGTTTAAAACCTAGCCATATGTTTCCAAAACATGAACGTTAAATGGTTGAAAAGGAAAAAACTTCATCTTAGCATTTTCCTGAACAAGAATATATGAATGAAATTCCAAATTTTCCATGCCGTTGATATAAACAATGGATTTATCTTCCCGAATTTAAACTAATCATATCCATATCCATATCTTTCAGAAGAGCAACAACCCGTTGAAATTACTCAGATAACAGTATTCGACCCATCTGTAAATCAACCAGTGGCAAATGGGCATGGTAAGTGACCAGGCCCGTAGCCAGCAATTTCAAAGGGGGGGTTCTTTTTCTGAAAAAGTGGACCTTTTACTTTATAATCCCCATGTACCTAGGTCAAATTTTACCCAGAGTGGACCTTTTTCCAGCAAAAAGGGGGGGTTCTGTCGAACCCCCCGAACCCCCCCTGGCTACGGACCTGGTGACGTCATATTATCCTCTGTCCTCGGACATAAAGATAGTCAAACATTGGACTTAGGATTACTGCTTTCAAACTATTTGTATTCTGCAAAAAAAAATTGACGAAAAAGTTATATATAACTTTTTCGTCAATATATATATATATATATGGATACGTTAGTGTTTGATCCAGAGAAAATGTTTGCCCCAATAATAAAAAATGAACTGCATCATGATTCCTTCATTTGTGTTATACAGTGGAACCTGTTACCAATGGAAATGGCAAACCCAACGGTAACAGCAACTCTGGGAAGAGCAACGGCAATGGTCACGTGACAAATTCACCCGCTGGGTTTATGAAATTTCGCGGTGGGAAAGGAAACTATAAACTCACTCCACTGAGAGAGAGGAAGAAAAGTAAGCAGTCGTGATACTAGTTAAAAGTTTGACAAACTACAAGAAATCTAACGATAATCGTTGTAGTAAAAAATAGTAAATGGGAACTTAAGTTGAATAAACTAGGGTGTCTCATTACCCGCCAGAAACGTGACTAAGTAATCGCCTTCAGCAAATATAAGATATAAATTATTTTAAAAATGTGCATATGTTTATTAAGCATGAAATTTTGAAGTGACGCACAGATCAATCAGATATATATATATCAGTATGTTCTTTGGCATGACTTTACAAACGTGTCTACTTCACGTAGACCGATTAGTCTGTCACTTTCAACTTTGAAGCCATTTTTTTCGCAGACCTTTAATGATTGCATTTTGCTTTTTATCTAGTTTATATGAACAGCAAAGACGGGGACACATTCCTCTTCGTCCCGAGTTGCCCGGATGGAGATTGCTTCTTCCGTGCTTTCACTATAGCAACGCACGAGATTCTCCAAAAGTGCGAGAGACACGCGGAGAGTGGACTTCCTTTGGCGGAAGATCTGTTCCGTTTCGAAAACGAAAAAGTGTTCAACCTCCGCAAGGAGATGTGCGATTTTATGAGAGAGCATTTCAGTCGTTACGAAAAGAAAGCGCTGGAGCTGGTTCATCAAGGGAGCGTAAAAGACATGGACAGTGCTATTCCTGCCATGGACATCCCCGCCCCCATACACGACGAACAATACCAAAGTTTCTACGATGAACTCAACGCCATGCAACACCCAGGGACCTACGCATGCCAGTTGGAAATTGCCGCCGTGGCGGACATGAAAAAGACGAAGGTTTTTCTCTATCAAAAACTCCTTGAGAGTCCCAAGAGCTTAAGGGGCAAGGACCCGAGGATCAACATTGCAAAGGTGATCGAACTCGGACAACCCGAGTTCGAGGACGAGATTGATCTTGTCTATATGCCCATTGACCATGGGAGGTCAGGACATTACGACGCATTAGGTATGTTTAATCTTAATTAAGTAAAGTGTGTCGGCAACGCAGTTGGCGATAATAAGTATTATATTGTTAATCATAATCATAACTACTTTTTTGGCAAAACTACACAGATGAACCTGTTTACATGAGTGATTATGATAATCATTGCACGGCATTTCAAACCATTTTTGTAACAATATAGATTTTACCCATAAGGATTACTTTTCCACTGTTCTAGCTTCATCAAGGGTTCACAAATTCTAAGTATATTTTTATTTTTAGATATAAATGTTAAAACATTGTACCAGAACTGTTTTAGGGGCCTGCGGGTACACTCTACCTATTGATAAAATACATTTATCTTTTCTAAGTCACTTTATTCTAATCCATTGAACTATACTGAGCTATTTTACTGCCATTTCAGTAAAAGTAGAAACTGCCACTGCCTAGTCCCAGTATAGAAATGCAGATTGGATTCCAAGAGAGTTTACATGGACACCACTTGCACCAGAGTCCCAGCGCGCCCTGCGCCTTGGACAAGCATCGACGGACATGTTTTTCCTATTCCTTTTTGAAGAAAGGGGAGAAAGGGAAAAGTTAAAGTGAGTGAATGCACAACACATGGGAAGCTCGCGTATAAATCTGACTTTCAATACGTTTAATATCAGCTTTTCTCGGAACGGCAGGGTATAAAGAAGAAACCGCTGGATCAAACCCCGTAAAATGCGGTGTAAAGTGTGAGCTTACTTTTGGATAGGGGTAAACTAAGTGAAGACAAGGGGGACCGCTGTGTACCACGTGAGCATTACGTCATTAACGTGAGCTGATCACGTGGTGATTATCCAGGTTACATATGCAAAGATGACGGTGATTGTGCAAACCGCCGGGATCAACACCAAATGATAAATAACTGTTACCTCTCAATTTTTTGCGCAAGTCGATTCTATTTGATGAACAGAACTTTCTCCTAGGTCCTTAGGCATATTCATTATTGTCTTTTATTGTTCCATAAATGTGTTATAAGTGCAATTATTTAACAAAAAAACATGACGGGTAAGATAAATTGTAAGTAGCCTACGTGTGCGAGCAGCACTGTGTTTTGAAATTTATTGTAAGTGGTTAGGATAGAAGAACAAGCTATGTCAGTTTTAGCGAAAGGAATTGAATTTGTATCGTACCGGAATTTGTAATTTCACCAACCTTGTCTCATGTGTATTATATGTGATAGAATTTCCACATTTTACTTAACTGCATCAACTTCTTAACAACGACAACAACTACTATTGCTACTACTGCCACAATTACTACTACTACAGGTGTTGCTACTCAACTCTCTTAAAAGTGTATTAAGAGACTAGTTCTAGGGTTGCTTATTGCACCAAACAAAGCCCAGGCACTGTGGAACTGCGCCTTATAAAGTTGCATTATTTACAATATTCTTTTAGTTTAAATTGATATGTTAAGTTCGTACGTTCAAGCACTGGTGTCTGCCTGAAATTTTTTCTTTGCTACCGGAAATTATATAGAAATCATTCATATAGAGCACAACAAAATGAGACCTATTGATATTTGTTTGTCTTGTTCTTGTTTTCTACCGGTTCTTTTATAAATTGTTATGTTACGTCTTTGCAACATTCATTGTATATCTCAATTAATTTTTGCATTACAGCGTGTAGGAGACCATTTTTGTATTTTGTTGATTGTAGTGTTTTGAAAGGATGGAGTTTTCGATTTTGGAAAGTTGAAATGAAGCGGTTATGCAACAAAATAAAGCTCCAACACTTAATTACTAGCTGCCTAGAACTGAAAATCGACCCAACTGATGTTTGCAACATATACGCCTTGTGATGTATGTGTTACGTCACAAGGCGTCCAGGGTTCGGTTTTGCAATGTTGCCAGGCAGCGGAGGTTTAGTAGAAGACTTACACGACCAAGGGGGTTAGCAGACGTTTTTTAGAGACGGATCTCGGCCCCTTTAACACCTCTAACCTTTGCATCCCTTGTTCATTTGTAAATTGTCTAGTAACGTGAAACGATGAAGTAATGAAGGGTATATTTTCGAATTTCTCTCTGTTTGACAAGTCCCTTAGACCCCTCGCTGGCATCAAAGCACGTGAACAATTTTAAGTACTTAAAGATGCATACAAAGTCTATTTTTTGTCACAAAAACCAACCAAATGCCAGCATATAGTTTCAAGTAGTATAATTAAGAGAATTACCAAAAGGCATTGTTTAATTTTACCCGAAAATGATGTTTGAACGGATTTTTCTGCTGGCATTCTAAGCTGTATGTCAATGGGGCAGGAAAGTAGGTCACGAAAGTAGGTTAAATTTACAACCAAAAATTTAAAGAAAGGAGCAGTCTAAAGGTCTTTTATGACTGATCGAGTGATCTATTCAGTTTATCCCTTGGCATGTCGAATTTATTAGAGTCGTATAAGAAACTAGTAGAAGTGGTTTACATGTGTTACTGGGAATCCACGCTCCACCGATGCTCGGTTCGTATGTACCTTTAATATAAAGATGTTATCTTACTCATTAACTTAGATTGCAGATGAATTCTAGACAGTAAGTTGGTATGGCACATAAATATTTAGTTGTCAAACGAAGAGATTCGATATTGTTACCGTTATAGGTAAAACTACAGCAGTCATTGTTTCTGATAAGGTATTCTGACATGGTGATTTGATAAGGATGGTAGTGTTAGTATCAGCACATACAGTTCAGTCAGTTTTTCCTCTCTGTTTTGGTAATACTTTTTGCATCTCCCAGTAGTAAAATTTGAAATTTGGTACATATTAAGATATTTTTATGTTTGATATATTACCATCCCATGCACTTTCACGTGTATTTCATGTCCCATGTGTGTTCAATATATATTTTTATACATAGCCGTAGTGACAATGGCATGGGCCTCTTTTCTATCCATATGTTAAGAATGTGAAACTAAATTGATCATACAAGGAGGTAGTGTACAAAACTATTTATGCATTTTCTTGGTTTTCTAATAATTATGTTACCTTATGTATACGTTGGAAATTGTATTTGTAGAGAGTTTTGCCATTGTTTACAGAAGTGTTCGTCATATTTGTACTTTCAATAATTACAGCGAGATGCAAATGCAAGCATATCTTTTTTTAGTAAGAGCAGAAGTGGAAATTCTCATATATCTGGCCAACGCTTTTAAGCCAGTAGCACAGCGTTTGTTTCCCCCAAACAGCCAATAGCCCAACCTTTGGCTAAAGCTAAGACCGAATTGTGTTCGTCCTAATTTGGGACAATAATAAAATGGATCTCTAAAAAAAGCGATGACAGTTCTGAATCATTAGCGACATTAAATTTTTTTTGCAAAAAGAGCTCATAGTCTCCAGTGACATACTTTCGATTTATCCATTGTCAAAGTGCACTGGTTTTTTTTCTGGACTGTTCGTATGCCAGCAATTTTTGCTCCAAGCGATGCCTAGTTTGCAACTCAGTTCTGGAGATATCTCCTTTGCATGAATTTCAATTCGTTATTGCGTATACATATATATTAGTGAAACAAAGTACATATTATCTATTCACTGTTATTAAAATATTAAGTTACATATCCCAAAAGCTATGATGGAACAGATCTATGCTTGCGACATCTATCGTTAAGTTTGTCTCCGAAGCTTAGCAAACATCCATAGTTAATTTGTACCAGATTAGTGACTGTGTGTGTGTCTTTATTGTAACGTCGATCACTAATCTTATTTTGGGTATAAATGTACCGTAAGGAAACAAAACTGGACCGACGTGCGATAAAAGCGTTGTTCCAATGCAAAATGTGTATAAATCTCTCGATCAATGTTATACTCTCTCCCTCGTTACCATTCCTGGTCGTTTATATTCTACGTTATATTTACTGTTATCTGTTTTTTTTTGAAATCCTAAACCTGTTATGTATGCTCAAAATCAGTGTACAGTATTACTTCATCATCATTATCGTTATTATTATAATTATGATAATTTTATTATTTTTGAAAGGGCAATAAATTATATTCTATTTACGAGTGCGTTTGATTTCTGACTCTGCCACAACTACTGGTATGTAAAAACTTTGAGAGTAGATATTTTTACCTTTTGTTTCACAGGGAAAGTCGATTATGGTGTTTTCACCATTCAGATAATCTTGGTTTTAAAATTCCATTATGCTGAATGAAATTTGACACTTCTCAAGTTCAGTTACGTTTCGTCTAAGATCAGTTGCTTCATGTGACGTTGTTGATCGTCCTAAAGTCAATTATTTTAATCTTATTTTAATCTACTTTTGTGTTAAAATGAATTGGACCTAGTTTCAACACCTTTCTTAACGTTTCTTTGCCGTCTTCCTCTACCTCGCCCTCTCTAATAATAAAGCAAATGGAACAGTTCATGCACTGCTGATCATTTTGTAAAGATAACAGAAAAGATGAGAGTAAAATGCATAAAACGGGCGAAAATAACACCTCAAACAATATTCAGTCGATTTAACTGTGATACAGTGGAATTCAATTCAACGCAGGTGCGTCAAGTTTTAAAGCTATATTAATTATTATTACAGCAGTAGTGTTTTGCAGTATAAGCACTGCAGCAGGTGATCCCTAACACTAAAATTAGAACACCTGTTGCAATGTCTGTGACAATGCTGTCATCATGGAAGTGGCATTGTGTGTGTGTGAGTGTGTGTGTTTGTGCTTGTGTGAGGGTGTGTGTGCGTGCGGGTGTGTGTGTGTGCGGGGGTGTGTTTGTGTAGGTTTGTGTGCGTGTGTGTGTGTGTGTGTGCTGTGATAAATCGGCACTCTGTTATGGAAGAGATTTAAGTTTTTGCTTCGCCATAATTTCAGGTGCGACATTGAGATATAGGTGATTATTTCGATCTGTCTGCACTGTATCTATTTATCGACGTGTCTTATCCCTCAGCTTGTCTACCTCTATATAGATGTATGAAGACCATGTGCACTCTCCTTTCAACCATGCCATGGAGTAAAAAAGGGGTAAGAAGAATCGCCCCCCACCCGCCCCTTCCTTATTTTCAAAATGTTTACCCCCCTCCTTTATATTAAATGTGCTTCCAAATGGCCTGCCTTTAATATGTATAGACTTATAGATAAAGACAAATAAATATAGGTGGTTCGTTTTCTCCACTGGACCTGCCTATAGAGGGACACATATACCGAATCGATGTCAATGTCTGCCACTGTTTGTCATTTCTGACGTCAAGCGTGACAAACGCCGATGTTGAGACCGCTTTTGTTGTAAAAAAAAAAAGCACCCTTATTGACAATAAATTGCATTCTCCAATAAACTGTTCCCACCTTTTATGTGTATGATTTCACAACGAAATAAAGTACGCTGTTTACTGAGTTTTGCAATGAAGACCGACAAAAACAGCTATTGTTTGCCTATCTTTACACTAGAACTTAGTAAGCAATCTATAGCCATTGTCAGTCACCCGTTTATCCCAGACAGTAGTATATATGGCATAACACCATGTTGTGAATACGCCTTTCATTAACTGACTCAGTTTTTTAAAGCGAAGACCAGCTAACATAAAATTAAACTATCAAATGCAGGTAGAAAGAAGGAATGTATCCGTCTCTCTTTTTTTAACGACATTTCGAAGTTAGAAAGATGAAAAAGATAACCAGCGTTTCACATCCCAACGGAACAGATATACGCACGTAGGCTATTATACAAAACATATTACCAAAATGTTAAAAACTATAAGCTCCAAGTGTAAATGAGCCCTTTGAAGTCGATTTTATGCAGGGATATGCAGATACCTGGTTTAATTAACTCCATAGGATTCTATATATCCGTTCACTTTTTATTTGAAATAGTTTCACTCATTAATTGGCATAAAATCGTTTAACCTTTTTATGTTTAAACTGGCGTGAAGCTAAAGTGGAACATCGCCAATTTCAGACAGACTAATTCGAGGCGTACTTCCACATATGTACGTTGAAGTTGAATCCACGACAAGTCTTTGCTGAATGTTCAGAACGACACAAATTGCTTTAGAGACAGAAATATGACTACCTGTGTGACATAGATCACCTGTGACTGTACCGGTACACGGCAAATAGATGTATTTTGTATATACATGGCGTCTTCCAGTTATCTTTGCCAGGTGAAAAAAGGTTGGCAAAGTAGTAACCATTTATAACTATAACGCTGTTGTGTTAGTATTTATTGTGTAGGTTATACTATGACATAATACGTGTTGGTATCTGTTAGGCCATATATGGCCTTGTGAACGCACTTAAAGCAATAAATGAACAAAATATTACAAGGTCATAAAATGCATGCACCAGTACAGGAATTGCTAGAATTGAGTAAAAATGAATAACGATAATATAATTCAAACCAAATGTCAACTTAAATGCAAAGTTAAGCCCACGTCCCTTGCCTTCTGTGATAGTACTATACTTATTAAGTTAAAGATATACCCATTCCATCAATATATGCCACAAAAAAAGAAAAGAGAAAAAATTGAAAAAATATAACACAAGAAATATGAATATCAGAAGTTTTACAATTGCGTACTACTTTTGTCATTCAAAGTCGTTGCTTAAAATTACATGTACAGGGGTATGCCAGTTGATTTTAAGTCGGCCTTATCGCTTCTATAACATTCCAGTATCATTCTGTATAGCGAAAGTAGCATTCAAATTGGAAAAGAAAATTGAACCAGTCGACTACTTACTGAACTGCATATCTGATGTATTGGTTATTTTTAGCATGCATGTTAGAATTAGGCTTGTTAGCGTACGTATAAAATGCAAAACCAAGCACTATATACAGTATGCAACTGATAAACAAATAGGGCCTAAGCAATGCAAAAAAAAAGAAAATAAAAAAAGAAAAAAATATTTCACATCGTTCGATTTCATGTTGGGGTGGAAAATGCCAGCACATTTCATGTAATATTAAAATGAGTCACTGAAATTTATCACTTTGAAGTCGTATAACTCATGTCACTACTATGATAAAAGCACGAACTATTACAGATCATTCAAGTGCGAAGGGGAGGTACAAAGTTGCCAAAAGAAAAAAAGGTTTTGATTTATGGATCAATACACATACTGGTAAGTGTAAATAAGGAAAATTACAAACAAAATCCCTTCCACCTCATTCACAACTCATAATTCCAAACTTCAAACTCATGACTGAAGGGAATAAAACATGGAATTCAAACATCAACCACCGGTAAATGCATTGACTGAAAGACAGATGGCGCTTGCCACTGCTGTGTGTTTCAATGGAAACTAAGAAATCGAGGAGTCGGGGACAAAAATGTATTATATATATCTTTTGGGCCGAAAGGTCGATTAAACTATCTCGGCGAGGAAGCAAATAACAAAAGCCAATACAGCGGTTCTGCGGAGAGAGGCAAGAACACGCCAACCGGATCCAGTCACACACTGCGTTGGGGATGGGCTGGTAGGGGGAGCTGGGGTCGTTGAAGTCTGAAGACCATCTTTTAGGGCCACAACCCTGGTCGCTGCCCCGCTTCCATCAACGTATACCATGTGGAAAACAAACACAGTAGTGCCAGTTTTGGGCAACTTGTCGAGGTTTGCAATATTTTCCAGACCGAGAACCCGTGCTCCAAGGAATGAAACGTGGGTCTTGAATAAAAGAGTGTAGCCAATATCGAAGCTTATAGCATCTATCCCCACTCCAAGGATCTGCCGCTCGCTGACAAGCCATTCCCCGGCCTCAGCTGAGAAGCCTGGCCAGTGTGTCCTCGGCACGCCATTCTCGTCAAGAAAATTCTCATGGTTATCGGTTCCAAGATATGCCGTGTAATTGTTAACATATTCCCCCCATCCGGTATATAGGAAAACAATGGCATTTTGAGGTATACGCCCGTTTTCTCTTTCCCACGCCTTGATCTCTTCGACGGTGAGAACTGCGTCCGGGTCGTTTGCAGCCTTTTGGTCGATGTCTATTCTCACAGCGGGGCCAATGAGGCCGTGAGGGGGGATTTGATGGATTCTCCAAGAGTCTTTGATAAAGTGTGCCGGAGCGTCAAGGTGGGTTCCCATGTGTTCCGGACCACAGAAAGCGTTTTTTTCAAACCTGTAATATACAGCTCTATGTTAACTTTGGTCGGTAATCAGAATGATATCAAAGACGAACCTTTTCATAATGCATTATCTCCGGAATTAACATCAATACCAATGAGTTCATTGCACATTTACCATTTATTAAGTAACATTTATATAAAATGATCAATAAGTCGCCTATAGCAGAATTTTTTTTACATTTCAAACGACGACTTAAAGTAGTGGCCAGATATTACCATCTCATGCCCTTTGATGTCCATTTTGGGTGATCTACTAAACCATCATAGCAATCATGGAAACAGAGAATAAGTCCATTCAAAATCGCTCACAATGCAGTTTTCTTTGGAAACAGTCTAATATATGCTGAGTCATTTCCATATTACAAACTCGTACATGTAGCAGAAGATAGCAGATAGTCTCTATATCTAAGTTGATTTGCAGAATATGACAACAAGTAATGATACCTACCACAAATTATTATTCCCGATTATCAGGGGCCCTTTATAGACGCTAAACAACTGAAAGGGTTCTCTACCAACCCACATCACGGTGTCATTGTTCAACGCATACGTCAAATCCACAGTGTCCTCAGGTTTAGGACTTAATTTAGCGGTCCTAAATGCCAACAAACGCACAAGGGACGCAGTACCATTCTCTACGTTCATAGGCAAGGCAGCCAAGGAATACCCTTTCGCCGGGACCTTATGTAGATTTACCGCACCAACAATAGTGTAGATGTTTCTTTTGTGCAGTGAAGTGCTTGCGGTGTATGAGGAGCTGGGGCCAATACCAGGGGAGTCAATGCCCACCCCATACACTGTTGTGTTCTCTGCAAGCCACATAGCAGCTTCATCGGATATCCCGGGGTGATTGGTCGTTGGTTCTCCGTTTATCAAGAACGAGGCAGCATCAGTTCCAAAGTAAGCAGTTTTGTTTCCATAATGCTTGGACCATCCCGTTTGAACGAGTATGATAGCGTTGTCGGGTATTCGGCCATGTTGGCTTTCCCAGCTCTTTAGGTCGCTCAGCATTAAGTTGTAGTTGCTGTTATTCTCGACTTTCATTGAAACGTCCACTTTCACCACAGGACCAAAGAACCTGTGCGGTGGAATCTCGTTGATGTACCATCTGTTTTGCGCCCATCGCGCAGGCGCAAGAAGACTGGTGCCCATTAAGTCCGATCCACAAATATCATTGTCTTCTAGCCTTAAGTGACAGAAAAAAAGAGCCACGCAACTTTTAATTAGATTTGCTGAGATTCTGGTTTCTTTTGATTGCGATTTTTTGGCATAAAGGAAGAAATGTGGAGGCTGAATTGAACTGTTTAATTTGCATGGCCTACTGGACAGAAACCAACTTAACTTATTACTTATTTACTTATTATTACTAAAATTAATAACTTATTACTAACTAGTAGTATAGAAAGAATTCTAAAATAGTCAAAAGGTTTGCTTTTCAACTTTACTCGGGTAAAAATATCTAATTCCTGACGCGATCACCATAAAATTTGTCTTAATAGTTTATAATGATTACCAATGGACATGCTCATCATAAAAAGCGATAAGAGTGACTTTCAGTCGTTTTTTTTTTTAATCTATTTGTAGCTTGAAGAGAGTGGAGTAGTAAAAAATTGTAATATCACGTACCATCCTGCTCCGTACACCCACGGTCCTCTGCGGATACGGGTGTAGTTGAATCCCTGAGCTCCGGGAAACACGGGAGTATCTGGATGTAAATGGTGCGTCAAGTCAATGACTTCATTGGCCTTTGGACTCCACGTGACACCCCCGTGATCGTCTGCACGTGCAAGACACGCTGTCGCCAACATTAGGAAAAGATGATGGTGCATGGTCCCTGAAATTTCAACTTTGACATTATTTTCTCCACGCTTTTCTACTATTGTCAGTTACATGTATCTAGATATCTAAATATTACTTAGTCTTAGGCAATCTCTCTAACGCTGAACATTCGGTTTGAGATATCTCGTTTCTGCAAATGGAGCATAACCTGGTAACAAACAGCAAATTGTTTTGGTAAGTACTTTGTATAAAAAATTTTTTTGAGTCTATTATTCTTGACCTAAGTGCAGAGAAACATGGAAAGCATAACATACGTGTATTTTTTTATTTATACATTTATTTTGACCCAGTTTCAGTTGATAGCACAATACTCAATTTGATGACGTCACAAACAAGCACTAGCACGTTGGTATCTTTTTATCACCTGTCACCTGTCACCTGCGGCGTGACCAAACTTAGGAAAACTCAGGCGTGACAGTGTGAATGACACTTTGCTGACGGGTGAACCTGTCAAATTAAGCAGTGTTTCAAATTCTGCAAAGAAAAATCTAAGGACAAGTAGGTCCTAATATTTTCGATCATTCTTAAGAGATAAATGCAAAGAATTATGGCTAAAAAAGCCAAGAGTCTTACAAGTATAACACATTTATCAGCACCACATGACGTCTTGAAGTCTGAAGAATGCAGTGTTCATGACATCAAATGCAAAGTTATGCCGCGTGATTTCCAACATCTCTTTGCCAGGCATAACTAAGGAAACTGGAAGCTTTCAGAAACCGTTACAAGTTGGGGGCCCTGGTCGCAGGGAATGGGCGTGGCAGAGCGGGGGGCGGGGGAGGGACGTTGGGTTCTCATGTAAACTTCACTAGATACCGGCGCACAACCACCATTCACGTGAACGAGGTGGGCCGAAACGTCATGGTTTGCTAGTGTTATTAAGTCTCTAAATAAAGGCTAATTCTGTTTTATAATCATATCAAGAGACCACGGAAAACCTCTTACTTAGTTATCATGTTAAGTTGAAAATAGATCCGAAGAACACTTCTTTAACTAACCTTAAATTCTTTTACTATTAGCCTGATACCGCTCGCTCTAAACTTCTTACTACAAAAAGACGCTCCTCCGCATACCCCAGCCAGTAAACTAAGCCCAGGATTGTTAGTATGTAACTTAAAACGTAATAACGCCTGGATCACCTGTTTAAAGTGACTGTGCACACAGGATAAAGGCAGAACTTAAATAATGTCGAATTTCCATGAGATCACTAACAATTTATAAACTAGTACTTTCCGATCATGACTACATGTATATCGAGATGCACATTTCATGAGTAGACCTTCATCTGGGTGAGTTTTCTTGGCTTAAGCAAGTAAATAGTGTTGAAATTCTTTGCATGTTGCCTTTCTTTCCGAATGTAATTTTCGTAATGGTTGGTAATTTTATT